TGGTGCCCTGAGTCGCAGCCTTCCAAACCAGATCCCCCCCAGTGTCCTGCGTCCCCCTAAAACTGCATTAGTACCGGCCCTTTGAACTTGCTCTCTGCCCTCTCAGTCCACGATCCACGCAGATCGCGCCCGACTCGACGTCCAGAATTGCCCCGAACCCGGGGTTCCGATGAGCTTTTTCCAAGTTCATTCATCTGTCAGTCCTGCCGTAAACCAAGCACGCAGAGGAGCGAGATCTCGCTCTCCAGGTCTACGGTGCGAATGCAGACAGACGCCGACGAGACGATGCTATAGACAATATATAGACATAGACAGTTCTGACAGGGTACAGGGTACATCGAGTGCAATGTGCATAGCGCAAAAGACAGGGTGTGTTTGTTTGTTTTGTTGTTGTTTTTTGCCAGAAAAGCGCTATATAAGTGTAAGCACGTTTTATTATCACGGAAAAGGCCGCGTTTCCCCACCGCCGGTGCAGCGGGTAGTAGTGGTCGAGTCGGTCGCTCTCCCTGAAGCTTAGGCGGCTCGGCAAAGGGGCGACACCCCTGTAACGAAACGCCAAACCCTTTTAATGACATCCCAGCCCTTTAATGAGATGCAAATTCAAGGCCTCCAGCGTGCGAGGCGCCGATTGCTTTTCGACGCCGTGCTGGAGATAGTGATCGGGTGTCGTGCACTGGAGCCAATTCGATCTGAATGGCCTCTCGCGCGCCGTCTCCCTGGCCATCTGCACGCGCGTGGGGTGGGGAGTTATTTATTTTTTTTATTGCCTGCCAGAGCTGTCAGGGTCTATATTCCTGGTTGCTGAAAGCAAAAGAGCAGAGAGAGAGAGAGTGAGAAAAACGAGTTTGCACCTCTTAAAAAAAACCAACAACAACAAACAGAAAACGGGCTCGTTGTGCGATGAGAAGCGATTAAGTCGTTCCCAGTGTTGTGTGTCAGATAAATAAGCTGCTTGAAATCACTCCAATTTGGAGGTGCTGATTAGCTATTCACTCTCAACCCCCTCCCTCCTCCCCTCTCCTCTCCTCCATTTCGGCTCGTGCCTTCTCCCTCCTGCCTCGGGTAGCCCGACGCCTGGACCCCGCTGTTAGGGTGCTGCTTACTGTGGGATTTTAATGGCGCTGCTCTCACCCGCACCATGGGGTGGCAAGTGGGGGGGGTGGCTGTTACTGCCGAGCACTTAACGAGAACAATCGGTGGTAAATCGCATTGATCGCCGCCTGCCAAAACCCACCCCCACTTTTATTTTTACAGCTGTTTTTTTTTTGTGTGTGTGTGTGCAAATCGCTCCAGCTGAAACAGAGCCGGGTGGGGGGGTGGGATGGTGGTGTGCAGGCTAGGAGGGGATACGCTCCGTGTGGAATACTTGCACATGGGTTTAGTCAACGGAATAGCTCGTGGTACCCTGCTGCTCGGCAGTAGCAAAGAGATCGCACACTCATTCAGCGGATCAGGGCCCTGTTCGTGCTCCAGCTGGACCCCAAACCAGATGTGAGATAACTGAGCTTTTATCGATCCTAGCAAGCAAGGGGCAAGGTGTTCAACAGGAGCAACTCTATTTGGGGGGGTTATAACCAGTGTTGAGAATCATCCGAGGAGCTGCTGGAAAATGGCCGCCCCATTTTCAACCCCGAAATGAATTCAGTGAAACACCTCCACTTCCATCCGTATGGTCGGAGGAGGCATCTCGGGCAAGCAGGCAGGGCCGCGACTATTCAAAAACATAAAGAGCAACCGGAGAGAGAGAGAGAGGGAGGGAGAGAGGGGGTGGCATTCAGGCCTTCTTCCCTCTTGGGGAATTTTTCATTCCAGAAATCTCGGCTGGCCCGTTTCCCATGAATCCCATGGAGCTGGCTTCACTAGCCCGGCTGGAACAGGTTATTTTTTCTCGGACTGTCACGGATGTCGGGAGGGACGAACCGCGGAAGGGCAGGGGAGCGATAAAGACCCTATGCGGAGCGGCGAGACGGGGGTCAGCCCGGGCTCAGCTGTTCAGGGAACGCCGTGTAGAAACCTGTGCCCTCAGGTAGCGGACGTGGGGCGACCCGGTGCTAGGCGGGTCTCAGGCCATCCGGACGCCTATGCCGAGCCAAGGCAGACTGAAAGACCCGGAAATATATAGCCCCAGAGAGAGAGACACACCGGAAGGGCAGCAGAGAACCGGAAATGAGAGACAGGACAGAGAAAGAGCGCCCCCTGGCTGCAGAGGGCGGGACACGGCCGGCAGCGGACCGCTTGCGTGACGGAGCGCCTCCCGTTTGTTTGTTTGTTTGTTTGCACGGAATACCGCGGGCTTCCACCTCCCTCCTGTCCCCTGCCCTCCGTGCGAAGGGACCCACAGCACAGCCGCGACGCTGTAACAGACTCTCCCCCTTCAAAACGGCCCAGGGCCGACGGCACTCGTCCCTCCCGGTTTCCTCCCGGTTCGGCGCAAGGCAGGGTACCACCTGGAAGGGACGCCAGTCCGTCACGGGGCACGTGTGACCCATGTGAACCTCGGGAGACCGTGCAGACTCCTTACAGACAGGTCCCACGGCCCTAGTGTGGAGAGGCAGCAGCGCTCACTACTGCGCCCTTGTACCGTGGACTGACTAACCCTTAGTAACTAAAACTGACTCCTGTACGACGAGCAAAAGCGATAAGTTTATCACATCTACTTGAGAGCTGTCCATATCTGTGAGCAATTTGGTCAACAGCGGTAGATTAGCCTTAGAGTGTGACATTCCTACTGTTGTCACTGTTGTACGTAACATCAGGATTATATTAGACAATGTCCAGCGGGATTTCATTTTTGGAATGCACACATTTCTAAGATCGGAGGACTAAGAGGTGCTTTTATATTTTAATTGGGGGGTACATTGATCTAAGTACATTACTCAGGGTTTGCCAAACACTACATTAGAACACCAAGTTTCCCGACTGTAAGAGGTCTTTTGGCTCGCCCGTCTTGTTTGGTCGGCTGGATTGTATCCGATTCCCAAATCTCGTCTTGCCCGTTTCCTTTAAGGATCTCAAAATGGTTCCCCTCCCGTTTCCGGTTTTTAATGGGCCTGTGTTTTATTTCCCCCTCCTGTCATCAGGCCCTCATTTCATTGTGGAGTGAACGATCACTTTATTGGCCCTATACAATTTCTTGCATTAGGAACTTGTCTTTTTGCAGACCCCAGCTTGCTCTCCAGGAGACACACAGACAGGGAGAGAGAAGCTGGGGGTCAGAGCGCAGGGTCGGCCGTTTATACGGCGCCCCTGGAGCAGCTGGGGTGAAGGGCCTGGCTCAGGGGCCCGGCGGAGTAGGATTCCTCTGCCGGCTGTGGGATTCGAACCGGCAACCTCCCAGCCACAGAGCCACCGCTCTGGAAAAAAAAGCAGCCCTCCCTTCAGCACAGGGAATCAAGTGCCGTTTTCGGCCCTGATAAAGGCCAGGTCCAGTTTGTTTTGTCAGCTCCTGATCCCCTCAGACTGAGGCAGGCACCACAGAGGGGCCAGCACAACGCGGTTATGTCATCCGTCAGCCTTCTCCGCGCGCGCGGACAGCTTGGCCACGTCTTGGCTTCTCCTGCTATTCTGGGATCTTCTTTTTTCCTGAGGAATATTAAAACCGTCTCTGCTGGAGCCTGCGGTTAATTAATGCTCCAGGCCAAGGCCAGACTGACAGATGAGCTCTAGCAGGAGCTGTGAGGAGCGAAGATTTATGGCCCTCCTAGACTGCCGCATATGTGTGTGTGTGTATCTTTGGCATACTCCTGGATAAAAATACATTCTGAATATGCAGATATCAGCTTTTTTGGGGGAAAAAAAAGCACAGAGCTGAATTATAACTGTGATTAGAAAGTTCCATGAGTTTGCATCGTTTCCATAAATGCGATTCGACACGAATCCCTTTCGTACCGCCAACTACCTTTGTTTCACAGATAACTTATTCATGAGTTAAAGTACGTGTTTTTTTTTAGCTTTGTTTCAACTCTTTTTCTCCTTTTCTGTTGTTTGAGTTCAGAGGCAACTCAAATCTAGATGTAGATCTCCTTCCCTAGCCCGACGATGGAGTCCTGCAAACTGTTTTTTTTTTCTTTTAATTGTTGTGCTTTAATCAACGTGGACCCAGGCCGAACAAGAGATTTCCCCGAACACGTGCCCTTTTCAGCAGCAGGGGCTAGAAATCGTAAATAGATCATGAAAATAAAACTCCTCGGTTGAGACAGCACTGAAACAGGTGTCTCCGCACCGAGGGGTTTTGTACGTGGCGGTTGGTACTCAAGAGCTGAAAAACTGAAAAAATAAAATGGCGAGTGCTTTCGCCGCCTGGCAGCGTGACCTTAATTTCGAAACACACACACGACTTGAGGGCTCTTTTGAAAAGCGTTAAGTGAATCGTGACACCGAAGAGTGCTTGAGCCCCGGCCTTTGCGTCTCCCGGGAGCTCTGGGGCTGTTTTCTCCGGCAGGTGTTTCCAGAGAGCCGGGCGGTGGGTTGCGCCTTTTGAGGCTGGTCGAAAAAAGTTGTTTTTTTTTTTTGTTGTTGTTGTTCCCTGGCGTGGCGGAAAACTCGGGGGGGATATCGTTATGTGTTCGGGATTTTTTTTTAATGCGGGGATTCACGCCGTCCTGGACACCCGGGTCGGGTTTGTGTCGGGTTTCGTGTCGCCGCCAGACGTTTCGGCCACAGCCCGGTTTCCGCGGCCTCGCCTTTTGGCGGCCCGGGACAGAAAATGGCGGGAGGAGGAGGAGTCGCCGGCGGCGGCGGGAACCGAGTTCGCTGGATTCGGTTGAGTTTATCCGCCATACGCCCAACCCCAGGGCAAGGAAACGCTTATTGGCACGTCTGCTCCGACGCCAAAGCACAAACACATACCAGCTGGCAGCAACAACAACAACAAAAACAGCAACAAAGTGATATAACATACACCTCCAATACGAGTCAGCGCAAGCAGCGCAAAAAAAAAAAAAAGATAACACCTGTGCCAGTCGGAAATGAACTCTTTCCCGCCTCTGGGGGGGAAAAAAAGAGTCAATTTCCGCCTGGAAAAATGTCCCCTCAAACATTTTTGTAGCGTCTCTGGGAGTTTGTAGAGTAGAAGCCTGGTTTTCCGGTTAAAACCCAAGAATATCACCCGGCAGTTTACGGGGAGAAGCCGTCGCCTCCCGCTCCCCCTGGGAAACACAATCGCCATGGAGGACACGGCCGGTAGGGTTTCCTCGGCTCCTGTCTCCCTCTTCCTAAATACTAAGGTACCACTTCCTAAAATACCCATGTGGAGTGCGTGTATCTGTCCACGAACTAGTGGCGTTTGCTCTTTAAAGTATTTCTGTGAAAAACAAAGACACCCCCCCCACTAGCACTGCGAACGTTGCTTGAATGAATATTAAAAATGCAAATGGCGGTGGCGGTTCTTGATACGCCCCAGTTTGACTGCCTGGTAGAGATTTGCTGGTTAAATACCCAAGAATATTCGGAATTACCGCCGCGCTGTGTATTTTTTTTGTTATTTCGTTATTGAACAGAGACGCGGGTCTCTCTGTGAATGGCGGTTACAGAGCGCCGAGTGATTTTCCCGAGAAAGGACAGGGGTTTGACGTTGGACGGCGAAAATGAAATGTCGCAGATGTAATTGGGAAGGGTCGGAAAAATGGGGCGAGAGGTCGGGGAAACGCGGAACCCCCCCAAGGCATCGATGGTTCAGAGCTCTCCCGTTTTAAAACGAGATTTGAAAGGCAGCCATCTGTAGTAAACTCTGCGAGTTTCTCTTCGTACTACAGCTGGTGTACATCGTGTGGTGGTTTTATTTGGGTGTCCAGTCCTCTAATAACATAAGACTAATATTTACCATAAGAAAAGTGCTTTAATATGATGTTATATGATCCTGCAGCCCCACTGGAGAGTCAGCAGGTGTGAGCCTGGCCAGTGCCTGGAGGGGAGACCCCTGGGAAAGCTGAGGCTGCTGCTGGAAGAGGTGTGAGTGGGGCCAGCAGGGGGCGCTCACCCTGCGGTCTGTGTGGGTCCTGATGCCCCAGTATAGTGACGGGGACACTACACTGTTAAAAGGCGCTGTACTTTGGATTAGATGTAAAACCAAGGTCCTGACTCTCTGTGGTCATTAAAAACCCCAGGGTGTTTCTCGAGAAGAGTAGGGGTGTTACCCCAGTGTCCTGGCCCAATTTCCCCCTGGCCTTTACCCATCATGGCCTCCTAATAACCCCCCTCTCTGAACTGGCTCCATCACTCTGCTCTCCTCCCCACTGAGAGCTGGGGTGTGGGGAGCGGACTGGCGCCTCATCCAGGTGGGGGTACACACTGCTGGGGGTGGGTGAGGGGATCCCCATGACCTGTACAGAACTCTGAGTGGAGGCTCCAGAAAGGCGCCCTAGAAGTGTGAGGAGTATTCATGTATCTATGTATTTGTCTTCCAGAGCCGGGGCCTGGAGGATGGATGGACCGTCTCCCCTTTAGAGTACTGGCAGAGTAGCTCCCTGGAGACCGGTTGCAGTCGAACCCAGGCGGCTTAAGGAAACGGGACCCCGGAACCATGTGCTTCATTCGCAGCGTGAGAGAGACCAGATAGCCGTGACCGAACCCCTCATCCTGCTGCGGAACAAAAACAAACGGGAACAAGTCCCCCCCTTCCACCCCCAATCTCCCCCTGTCTCCCCCTTTTCCCCCCCAGGGAAAAACACACACACACACACCCACCCACAAACAATCAAAACATTCGGGTTCGGATACCAGTGCGGTTTTTTTTGTGCAACCTTGTAGAGGGGGGGGGACAGAGAAAAAGGATCCAGCCCTGGGCGATCGCTGGCTGGGAAGGAGCGACGACCCCCCCACCCCAGCTCCCACCCCTCCCGTTCCTCCCCACCCCTCCGTTCTCGACTAATGGATGTGCCTAGGAGGGAAACTACAGGACACCCCCTAAAGGAAAGCAACCTTTGACCTGTGTAGGATTCTGGGTCGGCAACTGACGTCATCTGCGGCGACCTCTTTTACCTCCTGCGGGGCGGATTGGTTTGAACCGTGATTCTTTGTGGCAGCGAGGGAATAGATCAGGAGAGAAACATCGGACAGCTGAAGAACAACAGCGCTCCCTTCCTCATCCTCCTCCTCCTACGTAGTGGATTAAAACGACAAGGGGAGGCTGTGCTGCAGAGGGATCACTCTCTTCCGCAAAGATGGCGCGAGCGTGCCTCTCCGCGAGGGTCTTGCTGTGGGCCCTGGCTTTCCTGCTGGCGGGGGCGACCGTGGCGGGGCTGGAGTTCGGCGGGGCGCCGGGGCAGTGGGCCCGGTATGCCCGCTGGGAGGCGGGTTCGGGCGGCGAGCTGAGCTTCAGCCTGAAGACCAACGCCACCCGGGCCCTGGTGCTGTACCTGGACGACGGGGGCAACTGCGACTTCCTGGAGCTGCTGATCGCGGGCGGCAGGCTGCAGCTGCGCTTCGCCATCCACTGTGCCGAGCCCGCCACCGTGCACGCGGAGACGCCGGTGGGCGACGACCGCTGGCACATGGTGCTGCTCACCCGCAACTACCGCGAGACCATGCTGGTGGTGGACAGCGAGGCCAAGGTGGCCGAGGTCAAGTCCAAGCGCCGGGAGATGGCGGTGGTCAGCGACCTCTTCGTGGGCGGCATCCCCCCCGACGTGCGGCTCTCGGCCCTCACCTCCAGCACCGTCAAGTACGAGCCCCCCTTCCAGGGCCTCATCGCCAACCTGAAGGTGGGCGAGACCCCCCCGACCCTCCTCAACAGCCAGGGCATCCAGAGCGACCTGGAATATCTTTGCGCCAGGCAGAACCCCTGCCTCAACGGCGGGATCTGCTCCGTCCACCACGAGGAGGTCCACTGCGACTGCACCCTCACCCGCTACAGGGGGAAGTACTGCAACGAAGGTAAGGGGCGGAGCCGGCAGGCTGCTGGGCGGGGCCGAGGTGTGGGTGGGGGCGGAGCCGGGTGGTGGTGGGTGGAGCAAAGGCGGGGCTGAGTTGGACTGGGCGGGGCTGGGTGGGGTGTGGCTGGGGGGGGCTGGGCAGCGGGTGTACGGGAACGGGGGGAGGCAGGAAAGGGGTTCCCAAAATTTTGGGGCGGCTGTAAGCCCACCCCGGTGTCCCATCTAAACCCCACCGCCCACGCTGTGCTTACGAGGGGAGTTGGGCATAAAGGTTTCCAAGATCCATCTTGTCTCTCGTTACCGCCGTCGTATGCAGCACCTTGTGGTGGTCGGTTGTAAAACCAGGACTGGATCAGGACCCCCGGATGCAGCGGGAGGCCGTTGCCGCACAGGAGCCAATTGCAGGGACCTGTGTGAAAATGAGGAGGGGGCAGGTGCCATTTCACTGCAGAACAGCCCCGCGCTGGATGTGAATTACAGTACAAGCAGGCGACACGCTAGGGCAGCGTCCCATAAACCTGCGCGGTTCAGGCACAGTGGTTTGCAAACCTACGGGATTGTAATTCCAAAATGATTAGCCCATCAATCTCCCCCCCTCCACATTTGGGGAAGGGATTTATAGCTGCATATAAACCAGCAGGAAGGAAGAGCATCAGTGGGTCAGCATCATGAATACAGATCAGCCTGGCTCTTATTACCCCGGTCTGTTGCAGAGAGTCGGTATGGCGTTGACTGCCTGTCAGTCTATTGTTTCTTCCGTCTTTCGCCCATCTTCCCTTTTCCAACTGTTTCTCTCTCTCTCTCCCTCCTTCAGTCAGCCCAGTGTACCCACTGGTCTGTCTCTCCCCCTGCTCTCTTTCTCCCTGAGCTTTTTCCCTGTCCGGTGTGTCATTGTCCCTGTGCCTTTGGTCCCTCTCTCCTCCCACAGCACTCGTCCGGTAGATCACTGCTCTCTTTCTCTCTCTCCCCCTCTCTCCCTGCCTCTGCCGTCTCTCCCCCCTTCGCCTCTCGTCTTGCTGTTTTTTCGCCCCTGCTCTCTCCTTCCGCCTGCTGTCTTCCTCTCTCTGTCAGTGGGGTGCTCAGGACCACTGACTGCACGGTACCCAAGTGTTGCCTCCGTTCAGGAGGGCCAGAAATGTCTGCGCTTCACTGACAGAGCTCTGAAAACCCAGGCCCGGCCTCGTTTGTTATTGTTTTTTTGCCTCTTTTGCGATGTTTTATTTAAAGGACATATCCTCCCTCCTTTTTCCTGCACGGCAGTGCTCCTCTTGTTCGGTGCCACGCTTGCTCTCTTCTTCTTCTGCTGTCGAACTTCCTGGCCGAGACGGCGGCCAGGTTCTCTGCCGTGTGGCAGTCGGCACTCTTGAAGTGGAGGTATCGGCCCCTTTTTTCTCTCTGTACCCTGCCGGGAAGCAGGGGGGTGTCTAACATCCCGCGTCTGTACTTGAGAGCGAATGAGAGGCAGGGCCGAGCAGTTCCAGTCTTTATCCTAAGCCTTTGTTCTGCGCCTCTGTGCGAAATCTGAAATGCTTTTACGTGATCCATCTGCTTCAGACCGCTCTCCACGGGCGGTATACAAAGCAGGGACGTGTTAGGGTGTGCTTAGTGTTTTGTTACAGCTGTGTTATCTGTGCTGCGTGAACGTTGCTCCCAGCCGGTATTATCCAGCGCCGGCTCCTCTGTTCTTTAATGGGAATTTGAATCGGATAGATTGATTTTTTTTTTTAACGTTCAGTGAAGGGATGAGGCAGGAGTGAACTTCTAGAGGCTCAGCTTGGAGGGGGGGGTGGGGGGTTGTGTGCTGATGTGCGCCAGGTCTTTGTCGGAATGGTTTGAAACGCCCTCCAGCGAAACCGACGTCTAGGATGGTTTTTTTCCCATCCCTTGGTGGTCAAGACCTGAGGACAAAGGTCCACAATGGGTCAACCCCCCCCCGCACGCGCTCACAGTAGGGTGCGAAAACTAGGAGGGGCTTGACGTTGTGGAGTCTCGTGACGTCCGAGCCTCAGAAGGGGAAAGAGAGAGGACAAAAGCACATTTTCAGGTGAGCCGGAGCGCCGTCAAGGTGCTGTGATCGTCTCTGGGGGAAGGGGTGTAGGCCTGTGAAATGAGGACAGTCCTGGCAAGAGGACATCTGTGCTGAAGCCCTTCTTTCCAGCTGGCTCTGGCCCCTTCGAGCATTGTGCCGGGTGGGGTGGGGGGGGGTAATGTGTTTCAGCAGGTCTTAAAGAATTTCCACTCCTACCCTGTCACACCCAAGTACTGCAGTTTTGGATTATCGCAATTGACCCCCCCCCCCCGGTGAAAAGCCATCCAGATGAGCTGCCGTCACCCGTCAATGTGCAGTTCCTGCCCGCTGGGGTGACTGTAATTGAAATGGATTACTTGTCAGCGCGGGTTGCTGGTTCTTATAATTGATTGTGATCCCGATCCCCCTGCCATGAAACCCATCCGCCCTCGGAAGGGAAAACGAGACCTCCCTTCCTGCGCGGCTGAGGAGGGCAGGAGGAGGGATCAGGAGCCGGAGCCCGATCGGACCCGCCCCGCGGGAGCCCCTGGCTTCTGGCCGGCTTTGGCGTCACGCGGAGAGGGCTCTCGGCGTGCTGGCGGGTGGCAGGGGCGTCTTCGTTCCGAACCCCTCAAGGCCCCCCCCCCCGCCCCCCACCCTCTTGGCTCGGGAGAGGCCCGCTGAATATCCCAACAAGCCACGCGCGTGAGGAGCTTTGCTGGAATCCTGGCTTGAGGGGATGCAGTACACGCGTTCCCGCTCTCTATAAAAATAAATAAAAAAAACCCGCCGGTGACGCATCTTTCCCTAGCTCGCAGCTGCGGGCTCAGCACTGTCCTGCTCTGTCGCAGCAGAGACCGCGGTGCCTGGCCTGTGTTCGCTCAGCCGAGGGACTCGCCTGTAGGCTTCTTCCCAGGCAGTGAAGGTGGGGTCAGAGGTCAGTGGGGGGGCCTGGCGATAGCCACCCGTTTTCTAACTGCTTTTCCAAAATGCAGTTTGGGTTGCGGACGCAGCCGGAGCCTTTCCCAGCAAGCAGTGGGCTCAAGACAGGACACACCCTGGGCGGGACGCCACCCAGGCGCACAGGCTCACACCAGGGCCAGTTTTCCCAGAAGCCAGTCAACCCACCAGCCTGCCTCTGGGCTGTGGGGGGGAACCCCCATGAACCCGGAGGGAACGCGCAAACTCCCCCCAGACAGGTCTCCCAGAATCGAACCCAGGCTCCCCAGCGCCATTTCTGGCCTCATTTCTCTTCAGCCTTCATGATGACTCATGAGCCTGAAGTCCCCTAATGAGGGGAAAGTTCTAAAAGTGCAGTAAACCATTATGGTAGACGGAAAATGGCATAGCACACCAAGACAGGGGAATAAATCTACCCGACAGCGTGCAGCTTTTCTGAGACGGATGTCCTAAATGACCTAGCATCTCGTCGGGACGGGTATATTGGAGCGTAGGGGTGCGCCGGCGCAGAATTATAGCTCCCGAGCGCTGCGTGGTGTGCAGCCAGCACAGAGATTTATTCCTAAATCCGCCGCCAGGATGTTTCTTTAAGAAACGGATGAGCTGCGTTTCCCCGCAGCGCTTGCATTCCCAGCAGCCTAACGAGCCAGATGGGCTCGGTTTGTCAGGTTTTTCAGATGCGGGGTGGGGTGGGGGGGGGGCGCAGAGGTGTTACAGCTGAATGAGGTGAGAGCAAGACTGCGTTAGCGTCTGCGCACCCGCGAAAGCGCCGCCGATTCGCGGTCGGGAAGTCAGCGCTGTGAAGAGATCAGTGCTGCCTTGAGGGCCATATATCACTCGGGTAATGGTATGTTAACCTTGCTGACACCAGCAAGAACCCATTGGGAATGATTGATGCACTCGCAATTAGCTTGTCTTGTATAAATAAACGCATCGGGAATGAATTGGGTCCAATTTGCACATCCGGCCCTGTGCAGATTCGGATCGCACACGCGTCCCGATCGCCCCGCCTGGCTCGCCAGCCTCACGTTGTCACGGCCGCTGTGAAACGGTAGCTGTTGGGCGTATGACAGAGCATCACTCATTACAGGGGACCCAACCTTTTTTGTTAACAACAGGGGCCATCAGTAACAGCTGTCTTAATTGTTGTGGCGGGGGGGGGGGGGGGGGTTGCATAGTTGGACTGTAGTAACCATGGGCTGCCTCAAGAGGGAGCAGCACAGGGCCCCAGACGCATTAGCCAGCAGCCATATCACTCTGCAGGTCCCCGCCGGCAGCCCCACTGGAGCTCCGCAGGGGTGAGCCTGGCCAGTACCTGGAGGGGGAGACTCCTGGGAGACCTGAGGTTGCTGCTGGGAGAGGTGTTAGTGGGGCCAGTAGGGGGCGCTGTGTCGGTCCTGATGCCCCAGTATAGGGCACGGTATACCGTAAAAAGGAACCATCCTTTGGATGAGATGTAAAACCGAGGTCCTGACTCTCTGTGGTCATTAAAAAAATAAATAAGAAAGAGTAGAGGTATCCTGGCCAAATTTCCCCTTGGTCTTTACCCATCATAAATCATAAATGGGTACCCCTCCTAAACTTGAAAGTTCAGAACCACAAGCACATGAGCCTTTTATACTGTCTCTGTTGGGTTATTTTTCCTCATCGGGGCTCGTGAGCTGCCCGACCCTGTAGTCAGCGCTGTCCTGTCGCCAGTGATGGGGCGCTGGCCGCTTAAGCCCGCCTTTCGGCAGATGGCGGCTACCTGCACTGCACAGATGGCCTCCCCCCTCCCCCCTCCCCCCCAGCTCCTGCCGGACGGCCAATCTGCTGGACCTGGGGAGGTGGGGATGGGGGTTCTGCTTGTTGGCAGCTCTGCCGTTCAGGTTTAACTTTATTAAAGCAGTCGAGTCCCACTGTATATAAGAATCTGAGCCGCAGGAATGGGGGGTAACCCTTAGTTTATCAGCTGGCCAGAACCAGTACCGGTATGGATCGGATCAGGGGCTCAAGGATTCAGAGCACAGCGTAGTCAGACAGTGATGAGCAAT